ACCGCTTCGGCCCCGGCACGTCCCCGCAGCGCAGCGCCGAGGCCTCACGCCGAAGCCAGCGTTGGGCACGGCCACACCGCACAGCGCAGTTCCAGACCCGGCTGCGCCGCTGAAGAACGAGCCACCAGCTCCATCAGGCTGTCTCTGGGTAGCACCACCACCGCCGTGCCCGTGGCGACACTGCTAAACCGCTGCAGCGGACGACAAGCTTTTTTCTACATTATGGTAGCCTTTATAGAAAAATTTTTTGTTCCAGGACTTTTGTCTCGATTTGTGCCAATCACTTTATAAGTTCATTAGTTTACAAATGATTGCAACAACCCGTTAATAAAATGGAACACCTTAAAAGGTTTTTTTAGTATTTTAAACAACTTCAAGCTTCGTACTGCGGGTCTTCTTGTTAAGGAGGTTGAGCCAACAAGTAGCAGGAACAGCCCGGCAAGTTCTGATGCCCCAGTGGAAGTGACTAGTTACAAGATTTTAATTGGCACAGCCTTACTCTGCTTTAAAAAACATTAAAAAAAAAAAAATCAAAAAAAAAAGAAAACACAAAAAACCAAAACAAAAAAATTAACATAATCTACACAAAGAGCATCTTGTCCAAGAAACAGCTCGTATTCTCATCCAGCCATGAAAAATGTTTAATGACTTAACATACATGTGTTTTTCCTATATCATTAATTTGGAAATACTACAAATGCTGTCATTTTAGACCAGAAAAACTACTGTGATTTGCAAGACCTGACATTTCCTAAAACAGTATTAAACAATGTATTAAACTTCTTGGCTTTAAATGAAACAATACAACGCAAGTCTCTGCAGTCTGCACCTTGCAAAAGGTAAGAAAGTACACAAAAGTGTGCGAAGAACTCACTCCTACTGCACGATCTGTAGCAACTCGATAGCCTGCTGGAGGGAGCTTATGCCTTCAAATAAAAAACAAAAAGGGAGAAGGGAGGGCGTGGCCCAAAAATGCGTAATCCATAAGAACAAACGCGGCAAAGGCCCAAACTGCTCAGTCCGGATACCTAAGGAGAGCGGAATGGTAAGGCTGTAACTTATACTTTATGTGTCAGTTGACAAATTATCCACTAACTTATCTAATAGCTAAAGTCTTCAGTATGGCTGTTACAGGGGCACTCGTAGCTTGAGTCTGTGTTGGAAAACATAAAAAAGAGCTTGGTTGGTTGACATTGGTCCAGGTATACAACAGTCCTCAGTGTTAGCCATCTTCTTTCGGAGGAGTGTACCAGCCTGCAGAGAACAGAGAAACGCGTTAGGGACCGCTGCGCCAAGACGATCTCACCATCTCGCCCTGAATCTGCGGGAGATGGAAGCCAAATCTCCTTCCCTCTCTCAAGCAGGCCAGCTCAGCGAGACCCAGAGCCCACAGCACCAGTGGTCTGCGGCAGGGGAGATGAAGCACGTGGCATATTCCAGGATCAGACCCAGTATGTGGGCATGAAAATTAAATACTTCCAAGTTTGGGGTTTTTTTTGTGGCAGCAGCTATCCTGAGCTGGACATCAGCAGAGGAAGCTGTTGAGGGAGGAACACGGCTGTAACAAAACCAAATGGAACACAGGTCAAACCCCCAAGTCATCAAGCCACTTAATGCAGAGACAGACAAACACAGCTACACTGGGATACTCGTGTATAAATCCCGCCTCGTGTACTGAAGAGGCAGGCACGCGCAAGCATTTGAACGGCTTATCCCACTGCTGTGAATCTTGCTGTAGGAATGGGCTCGGAAGTGCCAGCTGAGTAACTTGCCCCCTGCCAGGATTTGGCACGTTTAGCCGTTGAATCATACCTGATCGAAGCTGCATAGGCTTTTTTCTAGCCACCTCCAGATCGCCAATCTAATTTCTCCCAGCCACTATTCTAAAAAAATCCTCTAAGTTTTTGTACAGTGAGTACAGGGCCTATTTATGTCATCCCAGAGAACAGGTAGCAGCTATAAGTCAAATACACCTTTTGCAGCAGCAGTAAATGCTGTGAATGCCTTGAGTGCAGCTCCTGATGCAGCAATAACCGCTTGCAGGCAAGGCTAACACATAGCTAGAAGTAAACAGACAGCCATGCTGGCTTTTGCTGCAAACTAAAAAAGTAAAAGACTCAGTTAACGGCAAGATCAAAATACCATAAAATTGGAAAGTATTGTTGTGTCATTATCTTTGATCTTCCTCCCAACAGCAAAGAAGGCATTACGTTCAATTTTAGAGGCAGGGAAATGGAGATGCTCACTACAGTCACACTGAAATACGCTCTCATGTTCACAGCAACGTGAATTCCCAGAGGAGACCATGTCCAACCTGGATCAAAAAACGTCACGAAAGTGGTAACCGGGCCTAACTCCCTCATCACGAGGCCAGGGCACCAACTCTGCTGCCTACTTTTACATAACATATAAGCCACTTAAACCTTTTAAAGCTTCAGATCATTTGTTGCCTTCTCATCGTGGCACAATGAATGCAGCTATACCTGAACCATCTGAATGCTTGGCAGCTGAGAGACCGTTAGCTGGCCTTAAAAGAGGTAAAATACATACATAAATAAATGAATGTGTCTCCCATTTCTACTGCACAGTTTCCCAGCCAGTGCACTGCACTTGGGACTTTTTGCATTTTTCACTCTCTGATCTTTCTTTTCCCTCTATCTCTTCCTTAATGATTCCTGCTACTACAGTCTCAGCACACTGAAACAAAGCCTTTCAGGGAAAGGGGTAAACTTCCAGCAGGCATTTCACTAACAAATAAGATGCTTTAAAAGCTACAGTAACAACAAACTCACTAGATCAACTGGCTGAAACTTACGCTGAGCTACCTTTCAAAAGCCAGTACGAACACTGGGAACATTCACCTAAGCTGGAAAAGTTGCCATGATTGTTAGTCCAGTTCCTTTAAGCACTATTGTCTTCCTAGTGCAAGATGGGAACAAGGAAACACCATTTATGGTCTTCCCAAGCCAACACAAGACACTCTGGCTCTTCAAGTTTTACCACAGCCCAATACCAGTGCCCAGGTTGCTGCAGAGACAAGAACGGAGCCGGAAGAATATACATACCGTTTTTCTCGTGTATTTGTACTAGTGACTTATAGGACTGCTGTGCTCTTGCTAGATTATATTGATTCTGAAAGGAGAAAAAAGGAACATAAAAAACCTGCACCCAGACACGTGAAACTTAGAAACTGTTTTACGAAGAAACTCTACAGTGGGCTTACAAAGAAAAACCACACATGACGTTACAACATTCCTGGCTTTAAAGTACAAGGAACCAGAGCGGTGGGCTTCAGGCAATCCCTGTCGCAACTCTGTCCTGCTCAGCTGACCAGGTACCCGCTGAAGAGGGATCGTAAGCTTCTACATCGTACCTAGTTCACTATCCTTGCACCAGTACTTAAAACGTGGCATCCAAGTGGCAATTTCATTGACTTTAAATATTTAAACATCCTTTGAAAATAGCATTTAGTACTTTAATGTCTTTAAGTTACAGTCCATTACCACCATGCACACTTGAACCGAATTAAGATTTCAATTAATGCCGAACAGCTAGCTCAGAAGTATTTGCCTGGTATTGTTTTATCCTCCTCGTACATTCATCATTTCTTAACAAACTCATCGTTAACCCCCAATAAAATACTCATACACGCACCAGACATCAAGATAATTCAAAATGCAAAGATATTTGCAACGCCGATTCTGTCCTCAAGCATCTTCTACGCAACTCGGCAAAGGAATGGAAGCCTAACGGCAATTTGTGCAATTGGTATACAGAGCGCATTTACCTTATTGGCTCCAAACTGTACTCTGGCTTTTCCTTTGACTAACGTGGCATTGATCTGCATGATGACTGATTCTATTGAATAGGCACTGCTCCAGCCCTGGAGGAGGAAGGAAATATTTCTATATAGCATGCACTCGCTGCTTCTGCTCGTCTTGCAAATCTATTTGGGAACGTGTGCTTTACTTTTTTTTTTCCTGCACTCCAGTTTTAGTTCTAACTACTTGTTTTCAGTTAATAATTTCTATTTTCCAGAGAAAATCTGGAAAGTGATATACAGTATTAGTACTAAGAACCTGTAGGAAAAATGAAAAGGCTGAATCACACATTTCCAAAATACTGCAAGACAGACACAAGAACAGCTCCATTATTACAACATTTACACCTGTTCAGCAATGTCACAACAGAAATTGTTGCAAGAAGCAGCAAAACATTGCTATCTCATGAAGCCACTGAGTGAGCTACGACAAGTTTGCTGCCTTGAAAATTACTGCTTCTCGCCAGCATTCCTTTACCTTCCAGGGTTCACAAAAGTTTCTGTCAGAGCCTGCAAATAGTTACTTCATTCGTTTACTTATTTTAAAGAGAAAACTGATCACTCTGTCTACACAAGAGTCATCTATGCCTACAGTCTTCTGCACTCCTCACTTCTCCAGAGCTGACTTTGCGCGGCAGCAGAAGCTCCTGGACAGGAACACAATGTGTCTGGTTCCTCAGAACTCACTCTTTACCCTGCCTTCCTCCTAGAAACTCTGAGAATTCAAAGTTCATGTGCTCTCTTGTCTCTTCCTCAGACCTCTTGTAAGCCATTCAAGGCAGAAATGAAGATCTCATACAAGATCAGCAAGGCAAATCTTGTGGAACTGAGGTTTATTCCACCATGCTCCCTTTGGCATGTGTAATTTATTCCACATAGGGATTCTTCAACTCAGGGGAAAGACCCATCTTCATTATTTTCAAGCATGCTTTGTTATAATCCAGAGAAAAGAGTCTGTGTTCACCTGTTTAGTAAGCAGTTCCATGCATAATGCACCTCCACCTAGGACATACCTAGAAACAAACGTGAAAGAAAATACATTTGACATCAGCAGTTAGTAAAAAGATGAAACCGTTGACAGCACTTTGAGCTCCTGCAGGCTGGTTTGTTAAATTTTTTGTTCACATAAACCTGAAAAGCCCTTTAACCAGTAATATATTGTAACTAATTAGCCGTATTATACTTACATAACAACAGGCACTGTGAGACCAAAAAAAAATTTCCTTTGCTAACTGCACTTAGTTACCAAAACCAGTGACCGAGCTACTCTGCACAACTGCTTACACAGCTGTACACAGACCACGAAGAAAGGAAGGCTGCTTTTTTCTGGCTACACCATGTATATGTAGTACTAACATGTATTTGTAAAACCAGACAAATTCACTTCCGTAAAGAAATGTAACACAATTCCAAACAATGTCGGTACACCTATAAATCAAAGATGTAGACAAATGAGATGGAAGCAGACCTTCCCCTGCTCTTTTCCTATAAACCGCCTTCTAATTTCAGCAACACCTCCTCATGCACTGTGCTGCCTGGGACTCAAGCATCAGCGTGCCTGCCCATCACAAAACCGGACTGAGGGAGCAGAATTCACCCCTCTAGAAATGTCGCCTCCCTGTTAATCAAGATGGTCAGACAACGTAGATCTGTACAGCATTCATATGGAAACCATCACTGAAATACAAACCTTCTGGGCCATTTTCTCTCTTGTTCTACAAAGCAGTCCAAGCACAACAAAACCAGAATCCAAGTGAGTTTTCTGTATTCTGGCACTGCTTGTTTACTTTTTTTGGTAGCAGCAACCCTCATGAACACTATTTAACTGCACTAAGCATTTCTTGAATGCAGAGAAGACACCCAGGAACTAAAATCAAATCAGAATCAGCACCAGCTATCACAGACTGCCTTTTCAAACACACAGGTATAATTTCCTACTGGCAGAAGATGCATAAAAGCCTTGGAAGGCGAATTTAATCTTCTCTCCACAGATATATACAAGTTTCCATGTCACAGACAGCACTTCAAACGTTTTTAGATGACTTCTGGAGCATGGTGTCAATTAAGTTTAGTATTTTTGGATTAGCATTTGAAGAGGTTTTTATAGACAAAAACTTTACGGCCGTGCTACCAGCAAAAGAGTCAGTTAAGACTGCACAGCAAGTTTAAGGCAACGCAGGGATCAGAACCCCTTCGAAGAACCAACTCCAAACACCCTACTATTCTGAACAACGGGAGAAGCAACAGGGATGGAAACCTTTCAGAGGCCAGTTCTTCAACAGCAGGGCAGGCACAGAGTCTTTCGAAGCCAGACACAAGCAATTCAACGACAAGTTGTGCCCGGCTGTTTGCCTACTGCTAGTTCATGAGGCTTGAGAAGCAGCCTTCATTTCGCACTTTGAGCTCTTCACCAGACTCACAGTCTACAGCAGCTCATGCATATATATTTGGGAGAAACTTCTTGATGTCTACACGGTATTCACAAAATGTTCCTTCAAACCCAATCAACCAACCTCAAGCTGTAACATTTTTACCACAAAATAAAATTTCTGTAAGGCAATTCAAACCTACCCTCCCGTGAGCACAGGAGATACCACTCGCACAAAGGGAGGATCGAAAGGGAAGTTATCCTGAAAAGCACAACAAAAACCAGGTTACGACATATACTGTAACAGTGTTCTCCTAACCAGGAAGTATTCCAATAGCCTTATCTGGCAAATCAGATTTGAAGCAGTAGAATTTCTCAGTTCTGTAAAAGTCACAGTACTGCCTAAAAAGCAGTTTTTGGGAAGCTTTAGTGGCAAACTACTTAAGAGTTGCAAATTTTTTTGTTTGTTTGTTTTTGGTTTTTTTTTTAATACTACAGCTCCATCTTTACCCAAGTAACAGCCGAGGGTCTACTCAGTCACTTACTACAGTAAGCTACAAATCAGATCCCAGCATTTCTTTCCATAGGCACATACCTTAAAAGAGAAGTTGAGTAAAATGTATTCTACGCCTTCTTTTTCTTTTAAGACTTGAAGATCACTATGCAGTGGGCTATCAGGATCAACCCTGTAAAAGAAGCAGGGGGGACATCCTGAATGAAGTTAATATTTTCACTATCTGTAAACAGTAATTACTCCTGAAGAGCTCCTTTACGTATTTGTAGTTTACAAACTCTAATTTGAAGTGCACTGTAGAAAACTCTTGATCCCTTTAGAAAGTAAATACTCTGCCATGAGATCAGCATGAAAGGTTGCTGCAACCCACTACATTCCCAATGCTATCAAGTGTTATTTGAACATAGTTAGCACAAAATAAACTGCTCATTTGAAAAAGCAATTTTAGTTCTCTTAAGTTCACCAGAAATGTATGTCTGGGAGTGATGCACATTTTGACAGGAAGACTGCAGTGATCTAGTTTTCAGTACACAGTTAGTGAATCCTTTAGGGAATATGTGATCACAGTTCTGTATCAGCTGTTAAAATTTATCTGCATCAGCAGAAATATTAAAGCCAGCAGCTTCTGCTCAGCAGAATTTCAACAATTGTTTGTCACAAAATGCTGGTGGCGAGCAGCCTAGACATTAATTCAAATGCAACAGAGTTAATCCCACCCAGACTCTGACACCCCAGCAGCTTTCCAAAGAGACTAGTCAAAAAATGCCTGCAGCAAGCCACAAGCAGATGTTAAAGGGACTGATGGGCCATTAAATCCAATCCTCTGCTACAGGTGAAACCACAAATTTATTAAATCCCATTTCAGAATCACTTGGGCAGTTTGCCCCCATCCTACCAATGGGAAGCTCTTTCAGAAGACAATCTCCCAGTGCTTAGAAACCTATCATTTCAAGACACAGCTTGTACTAGGACAATTCAGAGTTCCTTGTTCTAGGACCAATACTGTTCCACAGGCAAATGGGCTCTTTTCTCACTGACATTTGCCCCCTCAACTAGTCTGCACACAGTTCCTTCGTTCTCAGACACTTTCTGCTGGGATAAACAAACACCACACTTCTTGTCTTCTCCTAGTCATTCTGGAAGTCATTTTTGGCCTTCAAGAAAGCGAAAATGGAGCGCATGCAGCAAATCAGACCTGTTCACAGCACTTAAACAGAGGTTTCACATCACTGCACAGTGGTTTGAGCACTTTGCTATAGAAGCGCTCGATAAATAAGGCCTCCTGTAATATGGCACAGATTTTTCTGACATACATCATTCCTCCCATGTTCAGCTTCAAAACGTTCACATGCCTACAAGTGCACTAAGGAGGAAACAAAACTGTATTTCAGCAGCTGGTGACACAGAGGTCCCTAAGACAAGGCAACAGTTCCTACGGGCAGGTCAACTATTGTGCTGAAACAGCTTATGTCCTTGGACTTCTTCACCATGACATGTCTGAACCGATGGAAGTTCTTCCATCTCTCGTCATCTATTGCAGCCACCCAGCCTAGTTTGGATACGCTTTTCCTTCCTACAGGCTATCTTCTAGGATGATGGCAGGTGATCCTATTACCAGGAATAATTTCAATATAATGCCTCTAGAATTACAAGTTATTGGACTATGGACACAACAAGATGAGTTATCTAGTCCACACAGTGAAAAGCAGTACACAAGAGAAGACATTTTATGCAATTACATATGTCATAGTTATGTTACACCTAAAAGTTTCAGTCCTGTGTGTCTGTTCAAGTGCAGAAATCAAGAACTAATGACACCAAGGCAGTTCTGTTTCTTCTTGCATCTTGAATGGAACTAGAAGTGGCATTTTCTTGAAATTAAAAACAAACCCAAACTACAACCATCGAGGCAAAAACTCCAGGCAAAAGGAATTCACGATTTAACGTCTCATATTTTGGAGTAGTTTTGGAAAGAGAATCGAACAGTAATGAAAGTTACATTAATACGCACTGTGGTGGCTGTGCAAAGACAGTTTCCACTTTCGCCATCTCAACTGCTGCATTTCAATCTTGGTACGCATTTCGGTACACCAGAATTGTAGTACCACACACGATTTTATATGCTCTGGCTAGAGATTCTCATTTATCAAAAGTAAGAATCTCTGCAGCAATAATAAAAGTTTCTTCAGAACACGACAAAACTTTAATAACTTACTTTAGAAGCTTGACATGCCATTCATACAAGCTGTCATTTACCAGTTCCACTGAATATATCCCTGTAGAAATATCAGACAGAATTAATTACGCACCAGAAGTTTAACGAGGTAAAATTCAGCAAAAACATTCTCTGCTTTTAAGTACAAATACTGTCAGTAGACATAAGGAACAGATAAGACACTGAGATACTGAGGCACATCCTTCCTGCAATATCAGAAACACTTCCAAGCAACTACAAGGCAAACAATTCTTTCACTTCTATAAAAAAAAATTCCACACGAATCAGAATGTTTTTCTGACACCTACCATTTCCCCTCCTCCCAGTTCCCATTCAAACTTTCCACAGCTACAACTCCAGCTTGCTCAGTACTCAGTATATTTTATACTCAGCACATGACCAAGACACCTTTAGAACTCTTAATACACAGTCTGAGTACGCAGCGTCGTAGGTTACAGGTTCTTGTCACTACTGGCAGACCAGGACAGGACATGGGACAGCATACGGAGCAGACACCCCAAAAAAGAAGATACTGCACTGGGTGAGGCACATTCCCAACCACTGGCCAAAGAAGTCAGAAAGATGCATCAAAAGAATTGCTGTCTCTGGAAGCCCGCGGGTGATTGTCAGTGGTCCATTTCTTGTAGGCATATTAAGCAACAGTTGTGCGTTTCCCTCAAAGGGAAGGATGAAAGGTTATCTGCCATTTTCTTGTACAGTTAAGCTTCCTCTCTGTAGAGGTTTCATTAGCAGCCCAGGAAAAAGAAAAACCTTTAACCATCAACTTGTCACCTGGGCCGATATTTAACGGCAAATCTGCTGCTGACATAATTATCTGGCAGACAGATGCAAATCGGGATTCTGCCTAGGATTTCTGCAGGCTATACAACTGATAGACTGCAGTCACTACATTCTCTCCAGGGAATTATATTAATTTCTGACTTACATTGTTCTAGAATATGTTATTTTGCAGTTGAAACTTTTAAGTATTAGTACTTGGAGTACAGATGACATTTCAAGCTGTCCTGACATCTTTACTTCTAAAACATTCCAAAACTCAGTAAACAAGATAAAGAAACCATGCTTCTTCCTCCTTACCGCAGTGCTACAAACAAGTGGGTACTGCAGCCAAGATGATGATTTCAAAATTTTCTAAGACTAGGATAACAAAGTAGGTCTGAAAAATTACTCACCGTGCTCTCAGTGTCCCTTTTAATCAGCAGCTAGTTCAGAGACACCACATTTTCTGTTCGAGGATGAACAGAAGGAGCTATTAAGGTCTTTTTCCAATTTCTCAGATCCAAGGACACTATTTTAGAATTGGTCTAAGTGGAAGTCACAAAGTATAAGAATTTCAGTTTGTACTGCTCTGATGTAACAACAAAAGAGTTGACATTCAGAACTCTGCTCATTGTCAACTCCCATTAATGACTAATCTATTCTACCGTTGTATCCAAAATATTTTCTTCCACCTACTTCCAAAAGGGAGTGCAGACTGGAAGAAGCAGCCTCTCAGTACTACAGCTTTGCCACCTAGCACAAGTGTAAAATACGTGTTACAGACAAGAGAACAAGTTATGGTAAGGGTTCTGACAATATGCTAAATAACAGAAGATCACAAAAGAACTTCTCCATCAGCTTGTTTATTCACTAAGCCTCTAGCCCTACTCCTGCGCTCCTTCCACCACCCCGAAAGTCCTGCTCTGACCCAGCGTTCAGGCACCAGTCCTTCAGCTCCACATGTTTTTCCAGCTTCCCCAAAGGAGTAACTTTTTCTGGTTTAAGACGTGTACTATACCTAAACTAGAAGTTGTAAAAGGGTTCTTCAGAGACATGTACACAGTTCCGGACTGACAAGAATGTCCCTTAACAGAACAGCAAGCTACTTCATCAGCCTTTCAAGCACCCAGATTTTGAGCTGAATAGCATCTGCATGTCTGCAGGAACAGCAGAAGCCACGGGGTTGCTTGTTGCCTTGATACAGAAGCTTCTTAACAACACTACCCAAAGTTATCGGGGGTTTTGTTTGGGTTTTTTTTAATAGTCAGGAGGTGTTATTTGGAACCAGCTCACAGTAAGAGGAAAAAAAGTTACTGTCCGGAAGGACTGATCTGATTAGTACCAGTTTCTGAGAGGTTGTTAAGGCAGGGAAGGGAATCAAGGCAGGTTCTCCTTACTTAAACGCAGGAGGTTTTTGTTTTATTCCTCTCAGAGGTCATCCATACAGGTGATGAAGTAAAAGCAAGCACACAGAACCACGAAGCAAGCAAAAAATTAAGAGATGAAAAGGTAGGAAGAAAAACAATCCCTTTCAAAATAGAGGCAATGTCTTACTTACAGCAACTTTACTACAACTAGAAGTAAATCCCATACAGCTTTGGATAAAAGCAGTGAGCTGAAGCCACTACAGATTAACAACACAGCCACTAAAGACAGGAACAGAAAATCTTTCATTTAATATCCCCAAATTCTTTGCTCCTCTTCCTCTTGCCCTTCCCCTTCAAATTACATTAAAACCTTTGCGAACTACTTCATACGAACTACCCAAATCTCCAGCTCCGTATTTGGAAACGAGATCATCTTTGTTTGGAGGACTTATGACTCCTATTACGGAAACTGGTTAATGAAACTGTCTAATTTACAGCAGAACATCTTCGTTTACTGGAATTTTTTTTTTGCTTGTTAGCTCATAAGAAAATGATTTTCTGTTTCTTTTTAGGGGTAGTTCTTCAGCTAGATTTGCCAGGTAGATAAGCAACTTTCCTGTTGACAGCAAGCTTGTACTATTTTTTTTGCTTGAACTCCAAAAGTAGTATTTCAATCACTAAAGGAACTTTTACTTCTAAAATGGATACTACCTTGAATATATACCATAGGTGAAGTCCTGATAATGTTTTTCAAAGCTACTTTTTTGTAAAACAGTTTAACAGAAAATAAGTGTTCACAGGACTATTACTACAAGTATTACTCACTTCAGAAGTCCCAGTGTTGTCCTATTGTCAATCCTGAAAACACGTAACCTCACATACACTAAATAAAAGAGTGATCTTTAAGCAACTAAAGAGAAGCCTTAGATTTTCTGGCTTATATTACCAAAAGAAAACCCCCCAAACCACCCCCCCCCAGAAACCCCAACCAGTGTTAAATTACCTTGCAACAGTTACCAGAGCCTTTCAGTTTCGCAACTGTTCCCTTTGAGTGTTAATAGCAAGAAATTAAATTAAGGGAAAAATAGACCATGGAGCAAATACTCAGAACAAAGATCACAAAAAAAAAAAAGGGCAATTATCTACAGTGTCCCTGCTCACATGGTGACAGTTATCTAACAGCAAAAGATAGAACTAGGCGATAAAAGCAGGAGTTTTGTGTAAAGGAGAGGAACTGATATCTAAATTCACTCAAGTCCTAAGACTAAACGAAGCCCCAGGGAATGAATCTAGGTAAGCTTTATGACAAACAGCATCATTTACTGGCAGAATTTAATAAATACACCAGTAGCACAGTGTTTCAAAGCAGGACTGCCATCAATCAGCTCTACAGTGTCAAGCTCCACTTGACACTTTACTTCATTAATATGTTTCAAAGACTGACATCCAGTTGCAGTCATTTTACATATTCCTGAGTCATAATCTAAGTTACTATACTCACCCTTTAATAGCTCATCTTTCTTTAGCAAGATTTACTTTTCCTCATCATTTATAGTACACTTTCCTACATCAGGAGCTCAGTCTTTTGCAACTAGTTAAGCCTTGTTCTTAATCTACAGCCAAGAAACAGCGTTATTAAGCAACCCAAATCCCCAGCTCAAACTACACCTATTCTAGGGGCTCCTGGCAGTGCCTTCAGCAGTACCACTATGGGATTAAGCACCCACCATACAGTCTTAATAGTCAAGAAGATTTGTTATACCCAATCCTTGTTCTAACTGCAAAAACTAACCCTAAGATCATACATGGGCAGTAAAGCATCCCTCATGACTTCGTACAGATCTATTTCTAGACTCTTCCTTACACCCACTAATCCATTCTTTACCAGACAGACAGTGATTAGGGCATACTGGCAAGAACTGAGTTGCAATAAAGCCTAGAAGTAGGCTACATTCGATCAGCACTAGATTAACCTAATCAAATTTATACTTCAGACATCTTACCATTGTCCTCAGTACTTCAGCACAGAAACTATTTACCTAAAAGGTAAACATGGCAAATCAAAATAGGAGCCTATTGTCTACTCTGCTCTTTCACACACCAACTCAAACGCCATAGCCACCAAGGGAGATTTAAGCCCACTAGAAATAAACTAGGGGAAGAGTTCGGAAAAGTACAAGATGGCAGACTGAAGTTTAGACTGACTTTGTAACTGAGCGTTCCTCCTACTTCCACCCTGGTCTGCACCAGGTTCTCATTACTGGCTGCAGTGATGGAGTTGTCTGCCCGGCTGACCTACAGAAATACAACTTGCCTGAACTCTGTGTCACTTGAACTTCTTGTGTGGCAACACTCGGACAATTCAATATACTGATTCCTTTGCCGAGCTAGTTTAGATACAGCCCTTATATGGAGCAAATAAAACAGCCAACCACCTACCTAAAGCTAATCAGTGTTTGCTATTCAAACAAATTTAAAAGACAAGCTTGTTTTCTATTGCCATTGGTATCCTTATTCCGAGGAGTACACGGAGCTCAGGATCACATTAACACCATCACAAAATAATAAAAGTAACAGTAGTGTAATTAAGTTTAACTCCTGTATAATAACAAAACCTTCTGCTGTTGAATGCGAATCCCTCTACAGCAAGCATATTCCTGTGAGCAGTACTACCCACTGGTAGTGGTCAAAGCTTTTGCCCCGGAGAGCTGAACTTCACGGAGTTCTGAAAACTCCAGAAGTCCAACAGGAGTAATCTCGAGTTGTTCTTTGCAGTACTTCACCCCAAGAGCATTCTCATAGTTACACCAATCCTGTTCATTCTCGTGTGAAGCTTTGCATAACAAAAAAAGGAAGAACATTTTAGAGGATATGTATCCCAACTTCCTTTTTCTCCACAAATACACTATTTTATACAATGAGATTATATATAATGTATGTATCTTTGTATTTTTATATATATGTGCCCACATATATACACACACATGTACATATACATATGACAACACAGAAGGACTGGCAGGAAGTATTTGCCAAGAGAATTCTTTTAAAGTGCATTTTAAGAAGGGAAACCTGAAGCATTTTACCTGTTTTATAACTCTGTGATCTATATATATCCCTGAGTTCTTTCATAAGTCGATCTGAAGCCTGAACTGACCCAGAGACTGCACCCTGGAACAAACAAAAAAAGACTCCAAATAAGTGAAAAGCAACATTTGCATCAAACAGCTTTATTTCCATTACAAAATTGCACTAACTAGAAGGTATTCAGAATATATTAATTTCTGTATTAGGATTAGATTTCTTAAAAGTTACATATTCCAGTGAGCGAAGACTACTCAAAAGAAACAAGACACTCCCTCCAAAGCAACACATTAATATCTACTACTACCTGACATAGGTGATACAAACTCTTAATCAAGGCACAACAACAGACATGTTTTTCTGTAAAGAAGCTTAATCTCTTTGGCATTTTGATTTCGAGGACAGATTCACAGTACATTTTCTAATAGAGAAACATTTCCTTTTACCGTCTGCTCTGTTGCACTGGAAGAGTAAGACTAATCCCAAGAACAAGATTCTCCACATAAGGTTTACTGTTTTCTCAAAAGTATATTTTTACTTGGTTATGAAAAAAGTTACAGGAGTTGGGAAGTATCCACGCTAGAACACCAGCTTCTGGGTGAAGTAAGGCCAACCAATAGGTTTAGAAAACGCAGAACAAAAGCAACACTGTTATTTGCTACAGAGTGGGGAAAAAAAAAGAAAAAAAAATAATCAGTGAACACCTACACAGAGGAAGACTAATGTAAGTAAATCTTAAAATACTCAATATTTTTTTGTGATTTTTCACAGTTCTTGTGGTTTATGCAACCAGGGCAGAAACCTCTTCTGTTCTTTTAGAGCTCAATTCTGTATTACTCAACATATCAAAGTGATAGAAAACTTGAGAAGGTGCAAAAAGAAAGAAAGAGGGGGGGGGGGGGGGGAAGAGACCCGAGCGACATGCATATATAGTACGACTGGCTCTAAAACCCACCAGTGACTGACAAACTAATGAACACACCAGTTATCAAGTAACTGATGTCTATTTACAACAATAACTGCTGCACTGGATATATTTTGACAGTTCTGTGACCTTGGTATTAACTTTTGCCTCCATTTTCTGAGCTTTAAAGTAAGGACAGAACTTTTCCTCTTACAAAATTAAGTGCTTATTTAGAACAACATGATCACCAAAAGTACCTAGACTACTTTCTCCTATTCACTGCCAAAGCTCACGGGAAAGATTTTGATACTAAACCTTAGATGTTACACAATTACCCCGCTTACATATTCCACCCGAAATATCATTTTACATTCAAGATTTTCAGAAAACAGAGAGCTAAAAGTTAGCATTACAAGATTTAAAATATGGAAGAGGAATGAGGACTCCAAATGAGGGAAGGTAGCTATCACCCCAAACCCCAACCGTGTGAAACTCTGGCTTTCACCAGCAGCCAGTTTCCCAAACGCAGATTATCTCAGGAGACTCATGCAGTGCCGCCTGCTGCTGCTTGGACTTCAGTCACTCCCGGGGAAATACAGGGTAATACACGTGGCTCATAAGTGTGGTTTCAGGAGGCGAAAAAACCAGCCAAACAAAATATCTACCAATGAAAAAACCCCATACCACCAAACACAAAAAAAGCCCTGACCTACAGCAGAGTTAAGTGTTGCCTCTCTGTATGAAGTACTGCATGATTAGCTTATGGGTCCGTTTCTCTACTCCATCTAAAAATCTGAAGAGATTTTTTTTCTTCAGTTTCCTTTCAGACACTATGAACGTCTAAAACCAGATGCTTTTTGGACAGAAGTGTCAGAGAAGTGTTTCTGGAGGAATCTTAGCAGCTACGACCACTGTCTAATACCTGAAACATCAAACCTGTTTGACTGAAGCCAACAGCGATTCTACATATTCTACAAGGTCTTAACTGTAGAATCAAATCATTCCTTAACAAGGATTATATACCAGCAACAGTTACTTGATGCTAAAGCCTCCACATACTCCTTTGTCTTCTCTGTTCAGTAGCATCATCCAATGCACTTAGCTTCACACTATCATCTGTAGACTATTCTTTTAGGCTATTCATTTTCATATTCCACTGGATTTAACTATGCAGGTTGCTGAAATTCCACTAGCTTTTCTTAACGGACCGGTATGAAGAATGAACTTTTAAATTAAATATGCAAATAAAAGGAACTCCTTTCATCTGATTAAACAGAAACTATGTAAAGACAGGGCTCCAGACAAGTCTCAGTTTAGTGAAGCCCTCATCGACAGAGCAGTATCAGGCAAAGAAGGGATTTCTCTTCCTTTAACAGCAAGCAAATGAAGCTTTAGGGAAAAAAAAAAATGGGTTTTATATACATTATTTGCAGACTACTACTATTTATACCCACTATTTGCAGATTAGCTGAAGAAGGAAGCGTTACACTTCAGAAATGAACACAACGCAGCACTAACCAGCGTTCTCTGAAAAACTGCTGTGCTTTGAGACCTGTACTGTGAGGGTTAAGGTTGAGACTCACACACGTGTTGAGTCTGGAGGAAAGAAACTTCACAGAGAAGTGTCAAGATTATGCCTTTCTCCTGTGCAGAGCTGTGCAATACCCTTGCCTCATCTGCTGTACTGCTTACTGAAAGAAGGAATTTTCTAACATTTTCACAGAATATCAACCTCTAAATACAGGCAACTTCAACAACTTGGATTCTCAAACACATCCTGTGGAAAGCTAGCTTCCTCACTGCATCTTTATTTCCATCAAACCAAGCTACTGAATTTCTGTATAGCATGTTGGAAGCTCACCTTTGCATATGAAAATTTAAGTATCTTCTGTACTGTTGTAATTTAAAAACCAAAACTTAGTGCACCCTCATACTCCTGAGCGCGAATATATGGTATGTGAAGAACAAAAAAAAAAAAAAAAAAGGTTATTTTTTTTGTGTATAACCAAGCACCCATAGTTTTTTTTTAAAAAAAAAAAAAAAAAAAGGTTAATTTTACTGTGTATAAGCTAGCCCCAGTAGACTTTGTCTGTAACGATGGTTTTCAACATTTTTTCCTAGGAGTTCCTAGTTGGGCTGCCCCCTCCTTATATGGCAGTATTCAACACAGTTAGACTCGCTACTCTAAAGAATCAGTAGACTGCAAACCAGTAATCTGTGATCAAGAGAAAGAGACTAGCAAACTTAACCCAAGAAGTTTACTACAGGAGCTTACTTTACACACCCTGAACTACCCTTGGAGGAAGTTGAGGCAGAATCCTGCAGAGATTAACTGCTATGCCTGATGGCAACCTTCATGTCAGACACCATTGCCTTTGAAGCACGAAGTCTTCATCCTGGTATTGCTTTTGTTTTTTTGTAACTGCTGTTAAAGTGCAGTTCAGAAGAAACTACTATTTGCATCACACCACTGCGTGATTTAGTACAGTAGCGAGTTCAGTTTTTACTATAATGGTACTAAAACTAAAAACTTTAACTTTCAATAACTCGCTATATGCAAGTTCTGTTTTCAAAGACTCAATTCAGCTGTAAATAACTGAGTATCCTTCTGGAAAAGTGGGACTTGGCACTCCATGAGAGAGAAAGCTCCCATTTCTCCAGTTGTGAGATCAAGACTTACAGTTGCAACTGCCTTAGAAATAACTGGTCAGTTAGCGGATCTGACAGGTATCTGGTGTGGGGTCCACATCAAGAGCAGAAAGGCATAGCCATTTGATCTGTAAGCTGGAGAAGTTAACAGAGCTGCCAGAGAGGCCCCAAGTGATTTTTTTTTGCTATTAAGTAATCAAATAGGCTCAGAAAGTCTCACTTGCTCACCCTCTCCCATACACACATACTTGCTGTTCTCCAGAACAACAGAAGGTAAGCTGGAGAAACCCCTGCTACAGGAGGCAAGCATTTATGTGGACAACATGCCATTTGTTGAGAGTTGCAAATACCAGAAACCTCTACTGCAGGAAGTCCCACAGCCAAAACCGCTGGACACGAAAAAATATTCACGAGAGGCAGCACTACAAGCTTGTCCTGTTCTCAAACCCTTCCCCCTAAGGACATGCTTCTGCCACTGTCAGAAACGTGAAACTCTGGTCCAAGTCAGTATAGGCATTGTATTTTTCAGAAGTCTTTCTATCTTTCACTAGTATTTTAGTGTGAACATATAAATTCAATTAAAATACATTACAGGACAGTTAAGCAACTTGTAAGAAAACTCTGACTCCAGAACTGAGCTTCTGCAGTCGCAAGTCAGCAGGGCACGCCTAACTGTGTGGCCAGCAGCGCAGCACAGGCCACTGCCGTCTGCTACACGAAGTCCGCAGAGACATGAGGTCTTGCAGCCTCAGCTTTTCTCCTTTGGACATTTTCTTTTCCCCTTTCACCCCTCCAAACACAAGCACAGTCTGATCCTTAAATGAGTTATCTGAGGCAGGAGGTGCAGTTCACTGCAGCTTGAAATCCAAAGACCAGATTGTCTGTTTCTGTCCATCAGAAAAATACTGTCACACATCAAAACATTCCAGAAAGTCACCTCATTCACAACACATTTCAGATATTTCAGCCCTAAGACTAAAAATTACCTGCTAAAACAAAACACAAAAAATAGAAACTCCTCCAAGCTCATGAAATCTAACATGACCCAAAAAGAGCTGAAGAAGACAAGCTTGGTCTGTTGTCACTGAACTTCCTCAGTATTTGCACAGAAGTACATTCATTCCTAGAAGTTAAAAGTAGATTCATGCTTACTTCAAGGATTAGACTGAAAATGGAAATGACATGACACCTTAGACTTCATAAAATCTGAAGATGAAAGTGGAGACATTTGAGGCTTCTAAAGGAAAAAAGCTAACAGCATTTTCTAAATAAGAAAAGCATTAATCTCTAAAATGATTATGTGGGAAGAGACCTCTGAAAAGCAAGCAGCAGCAAGTTGTTAAATATTTGAAGTTAATGATTCCAGTTCAAAGACCTTTTTTTATTCCCAGTAAGCAAGTGGGTCTTTAAAGTTATTACAATGTTAAGAGGAGGATTAATTCTTGCTCGAAGTTACATATTGCACCACAAGACAAATTTAAGTTTATTTCCTGATGCCAGCAAGAAGAACAGGATTAGGGATACTGCCAAGGAAGAGAATTAGTTTACAAAATTAGTAGATACATATTCTTCACTTGTATAAAACACACAAACCCTAGAAACGCCTATGAAAAAAGTCTTGAGCAACAGAAAAATGTCATTATCCTGATAAGAATATGTGAGAACAGAACTGCACGCCCTCCTTTTCTACGGAAAAACCTTTAGCAGAATCCGTATCTTCAACCCGCACTTCAGCCAAGGGCAGAGAGGATGACCCATGGGTTTGGGCCAAAGAAGACGTAAAGAAACTGGAAAGTCTGCTGGTCGCATTGGGCCCTAGTCAAAGCCCTACATTAAGCTTCACCCTCCCTCTTCCAACAAGCAGCATGTAAACGGCACGGCTTTGTTTTACTCCGCTCTGCTGAGGAAACAAAAGTATACCAAAAGAGCTGTGTAATCTGTGCGAAAACCAGACTAGGTTTAGCCCCTACATTGAGTTTGTGAAACTCAAACTGTCCTTTAAAGAAACCCACTGTGAAGGGCTGCATAGATTTAACTCTTCTTTACATTAGGATACTGCGCAAATTCCTGCTACCTTGGAGCACGTTTGACATGTTTTAATAAAAGTCCCACGTTTTGGCAGCAGAAAGGGGCATTTAAGTGTTACTAGGTTAGCTCTTTCCTAGGTCAGTAGTGCAGCTACAGTTTTCAGTTCTCAAGCACTTCCGAGGAACCTTCACAAGTCCTCTGAGAAGCGATTTAAGCAGCGCAGCTATTCCTGGCGACCCACAAAAATACGCCGGCTCCTCAGCAGCAGCTGAATACTCTGTTCCCTGTACTCAGCTGACCTTGTTTATGCACCATCACCAGCCAGAGTGTCCTGGCACGAGGAACAGCTATTATGTAAGTTGGAGCTGCTGCTGTCAAACCAAAAACCAGCAGCGTTCGTTTCAGCTTCGCTGGACGTGGCAGGAAAAAGCAAAAGGAAAGGCAGTATTTGCCAAATGGGAAAGAACAGATAGCACAAAACATCTGCAGTTTTAAGAGGCTTTCCACACCAGAGAAGAAAGTTGACACTGCAAGAACCTTTTGTTTCAGTTCAACCTGATTTTTAAATGATGGTAAAGCAGACTATGCCTTTCAGGCTGCAAGAGGATTTATTTTATTTAACTTTTAAGGAGCCTTTACTATCAGGTCTGTGTTATAAATACAGAAATATACAGAACCATCATAGGCACCTTTTGAAACTCTGAACAAGCATTTAATTTTAAACAAAACCAGTAAGTGACCGTTGTGTTTATGGTTAGTAAAGTCCCAAAACAGACTTGACGACACAGCAAAAGCAGTTTAGCACCTTACGTTTTCGTGCTTTTAAACACCGAGATGCTGATCTCGGTTTCGTGCTTTTAAACACCGAGATGCTGATCTTGGGGGGTTAGTTTGTTTTGGGTTGTTTTGTTTTCGGTTTACTTTGTAGGGTTTTTGTGTCGTTTGGGGTTTCTTTTGAAGGGCTGATCATTTACAATTTCCTTCAGACAACCCGATAGGTAACTATTGAATTCATACACAAATCAAAGAGCAGTCTTCTCTAGCCAGCTACCTCCTGCTGCCTATCTCAGCAGAATATAAGTCTCAGGTATTTTGGAAAGGTTTTCACCCAAGTGTTATTAGAACAGCACTGGGACAGGAGCAGAAGACTTGTAATTGAAGAACTCTGACAATCATTCCTATTTTATCTCCTTCGCAAAGCAGAAGGCTACAAACTGAATTTCTGTTCCACATTGAAGTGTCGGTAACTAAGAGGAAGAAGTTATTTTTCTGAACTAGATAAAGTTACTTTGGCCAGTAATTCACAACAAGAAATAGTCAAGATTCTGCTAAGGAAGCCTTCTCCCTAAACTCTTACGATAACTAGGTCTGTCAGGATTGCATCCAATATTAAAAGTGGATTGGCTTGGCTAGCACTGAGCACTTTGAATGTATATAGTTCTTGCTACAAATCAAAAGAGGTTTACAACAGCAATTCTCTTTAATATAATTTTTAAGGGCAATTAAGCTTTTCTAGAAAATATTTACTGAAAAAAAAATCACCAAATATAAGAAATAGAACAAATCTGGTTCCTTGGGCAAAAATCAGGTTCTCCTACATATCAATCCTAAATCTTATTCCTTCCCTAAATATTTACAGGTCCCTCCCCTGTACCTAACTACCGCTCACATCCTCAGCTATTAGCTTATTCAAGAGAAATAGCACATCTTGCATCAGGACACGATCTACGTATCTGCTGATCTGCCAAACTGCAGATAAAAAAAACTTACGAGCCCACACAGCAGTGGGCACCAATTCAAGCACCTTCTTCTGTACAGGTGACACATGAAAATATTGGAACCCTTACCTTTGGTGGAAATTGGTCATGAACAGAAGTATTAATTTCACACACTACATATTTTAAGCCTCTGAGAAACAAAGAGTTTTGATTTCTCTGGAAGTCAGGCTAAATAAAATTAAGGTTGTATGCCATCATCATTCCTTCCTACATGCACCTTCAAGAAGTGGAAGTTTTCTGGAGCTTTGCACTTGTGATAAGACATTTCTAAGCCTCTGGAAAACAGTTTTTTACAACTGCCTGCTGGCAGGATCACTCAGAAAACTGATAACAAAGCTGCAGAGACACTGAAGGCCCCTTGCTCTATGTCTGGCAAAAAACCCCCCAACCCTTCAGTAATTTCCAAGCAGCATAGATATTACTGAAAAAAACCCTCATGCATAAAATGGATTTAAAGCACAAATTCCTGGGTTTACTAAGTATGCCAAGCCATCCATGACTTTTAATGCAGTGAGTTTTATATATGGTGTTATTTTAGTACAAGCTCAGCAAAGAAAGTCATGCTTACAACATAGATGCTTTCTGCTGATTCTGCAAGGAGAACTCTTGTTCATAACAAAGGCATCAAGCAAGAGACAGAAGGACAGCCAAACAGACACCTCTGGAAATTAGATGACCAGTTAAATGTCATTAACAAGTGTGAAACCTGGATCTACGTGTAAGAGTTGACTCTAATGAAAAGCTAAAAGATGCTTCTTCATTAAAAGTTCCAAGAATACCCCAACCCAGTATGACAAAAGAAACGATGATAGTATTCTCCCAGACTGAAAGAGTGCTTTGAAGTAGTTTTTGTGCCTCTGTGGGATGTGGACTGACAACTAAGTTCCTGTGCCAAAGACTTTGATGAAAGACGAGTCCATTTAGTAAATGACCTTGGAATTTTAGCTGGCCTACTCAAACTTCTCCAAAAAGAGCTAGTTTGGTCCCATAACTTGAGACATTTGTCCTGTACATACTGGAAGTCAGCTACAGGTTAATTTATGCCTAGATGCATAGCAGTTGGCTTTATTTGCTGAAAACCATTTCTAATTTAAAGCCAGAAGTATTGAAAGAAAAACCATAAATCTTTAACTCACATTTAAGTGATCTTGCCTTTGATTTTTTCTGATTTTTTCTAAGATTGCAAGGTTCTCTTTTTCAATGCCTTCATCCTCAGACTTCTTCCCATCAACTGGTTCCTCCTCCTTCATGTCATAGTGATCCAGATCTTCGATATCCTACAGGACAAAGGGAGATTCACTGTAAATAACTTAACTATGCTCTTCATTCAGTGAAACCTTCTCCAAGGGCATTTATGATGGGATGCAGTCACATACTGCACAGCACAATGTATTAGTGATTGTTGGATGTCATTTCTACTTTGCTCTAACTTCACTCTCTCAGCCAACAGTATTCACTGGAAGAGTAGAGAGCCTTCACAATACAAATGAGACCCAAATTCACAACATGTTTCTGGTCACAGAAACTAGCACAATAAAACCTCTGCAAGATGTTAAGATTGTAGTGAATTAGCCCATCAAAGTAGGTAGAAAACAGGAAGTTAAGGCATTTTGAATAGGGCTTGAGAATCCAAAAGTACACAAAGGTAGGGTGTCTCCAAGCCGTTTCTAAAAGCAGACTGTTTTTTCAGTTAGCATCGTAGGTATATTACACTTCTGGCAAACAATGATTAATATAACTGGCAGGGCTACAGTAACCCTTCAAGAAAGTTAAATATTAGAAAGCTACATGTACTTTATTCAAGGTGAACTTCTCAGCTGCAGATTAGATACAGCAATTTTGGATTATTAGGATATAAGACACAACTGTGCAGTCAACTACTCTGCTCACACAAGCCAACATCTTAGTTCTGAGCTCTAGACCAAGACACTGAAAAATCTTCCACTCTGTATTCTGAGATGGGGTTACCCTGTTGCAGAGCAGCACTCTGAACTTGCCTGTAAGACGACTCAAGTGCTGTTCATGGACAGCAAGCGAAGCATGTAAACACCTTGAGATGAAAAAGGAAGCACTACAGCAGCCACCAGCAAGCCGTGAGTACAAAACTATCAGATATGCTCCAATACACAGTGCTCCACCACACCCGTGGCTACTCTTTATGCACCATTCGTTTGCGTGGCAGGAAAGCTTGGCCATAAACGCAAACTCAAGAATGTCTCGAGCAGTAAGAAACACACCTACCCGGTGCCTTTGACAACACCGTTTCCTCCAACTGTAACAGACTTTAGACTGAGTATTCTTTAAAACGCTCATGTTTTTCAAAATAATGATATAGCCCTAGGAACTGTAAGCTGCTTTTCAATTTAGAAATTGGACTGGATTACAAGTTGAAGATATCAGTGCCACACACAAAGACACCTAACAGTTTATGACGACAGGCATGACAATTTTCTTGTCTAAAGTAACCCGAAAAGAGTGCAAAAGGCTACTTGCAAAGCTGCAAGCAACAACAGCCTTATAGCAGCAGGACAAAGAAGCATACACACCACCTTTACAGAAACTCTGCCTCCAACAAATGCCGTCTGGATCAGGCTAAATACGGCACAAGAGAGGCTGCTCCAAATTAATTCCAGAACGTGCGTAAATTTTAGATCTTTTCTAAAGGAAGACCTTCTGTTCAAAGAATGAGTTGTTCTTTCATTCTACGCACCTTCTTCATTAAAAAGCTAAATCTGAAGAAGTCAGAGCAGTTCTCCTACAATAAGGCTATACAGTGGTTTGAAAAGCAAGCATCTTGGATCTATTCTAACATGCTGTAGAAGTAACTGGAAGGGGTGGCTCTTACACAGTAAAAAGCTCATTAAAAGGAGCACCGCGTTGCCAGACAGTGACATAAACCCCTTAGAGTGTCCGTTTCGGATGACCTCTCATTTCCTTCAATGTATTACAGTTAAAACTAGCTCACCCGTTTAATAAACCAGCAAACTGATTTACTCTTAGCCAGTCTGCTTCAACTTGGGAGGCACTTTCAGCTGTAGCAGAGCCAGTTCATATGCTGCTTGAAACAGGAGTTAACAATGCAAACTTACTGATTTGGCAGACAATATTATGTATTGTTTGACTAAAGCACAAACAGATGTGCAATTCCTTGTATCCAAGTACCTCACAGCCGGATCTAGGTCTCAGCAGAAAATTTCACTAGTTTTGGTGGTTGAAGCGAAAGCTGCCATTAAGGTAAACATGCAAATTTTTAATTATCTTTTCTGTTGAACTCTAGGGAGATCACATTTTACAGTTTGGTTTAATAATTAGCCAGCCACTGCAGAGTAAAATGCCAGAATTCTGCAAGATCAGGATAACGTCATATATACACATACTTCACCCATATCTTCTTCCTCCTCCTCCTCTGATGTAACTTCTTCTGTTGTGCCATTCTGCAATACAACAATGAGGTTTCTGCATAAATTGTGTGTGTGTTCCTTTCTTTCAAAAACAGGAAATCAACTATCAAAGAAAAAGTCGTCTATGTGAAAGTTACACTTATCCAGGTCTGCAAAGGACTGAAGTTTAATGTGAAAGATACACAAAGATACTTTCCTGCAATATGACAGTGAAGAGATCTTTGCACGAAGCAAAGGTGAACAAAATGTCATAATTATTTTTGCATTAAGTTATAAGTGGAAATGTAGGATTCAGATTAGGATATCCTATTCTGAGACAGTGACAAATGCAATGAACAAGTCAAGCGGGTTATAACTCATGATCTCTTAACCATGACATCAGATCATGGCTCTGACTAGAATCCACATCCATGCTAGACCTCTAAAAAGAAAAAACCCAGACTGCAGACGTCTAAAACTTAATGGATTTTTGTCTCACCACCTAGAACTTCTATGCAACAACTACCATCATCATACAGCCATTGTTATTAGATTATCTGATAAAATACCAAACCAATACACTGAGCTAATTTTTCATGGCTTTCCATTTCAGGACACCATTTCAGGCTCAGGAAGTCTGGGCTGCAGACATACTCAGAAGCGTTTGGATACGCTTGTGCTCTGTTTAGTCTTCCTTCTGCAAAGAAGGAATGCCACTGCTGTAGACGATGCAAGGGACTAAGTGGATCTTTGGTCTGGCTTACTAAGGCCGCTCTTATTTAACTTGCAAATTATCTGACATTTCTGGCTAAGAAACTTCCATGAGTTTGCTTTTGAGTTTCAGAGTGTAAACAAGACTCTCCACCGAAGCTACTTCTTGATATTACAGGCCTATTGCCTTACAATTGCACTGCTATGTGGGTGGCTGAGAGGAAAGACCTATAGGATTACAATCTGGCACCTGATCAAAATTAAGCAAGTTATCTGTCATTACTATAGTACTGTCACCACAGGAAAACCATCTGTTACGCTACAGGAGTTTTTAGAAATCGTGTCATCTTAATATGTGTATGCAAAAGAAGATACCATGATCTTATTAAAAATACAAAAAAGAACAGTTACTGTCAGTTACCAGTTCTGTTTTCAGCACAATACAAAACATTTCAGTTAACCAGAACATTTCACAGTCCTTCACAACTCTTAATTTGTCAAGAGCCCAAAAAGAAAACAAGGCACCTCAGATACTCCCTACCCAAAGTAGCATATGGTCTTGATATCCCATGTCTCCGCAAGGGATTGAAGAGAAAGTAAAACACCAACAGTAGTTCATCCAAGTGCACACTGCAAAACATATACTCTTCAACAGAAAAGCAAACCGTGTTTAATCACATTTACGTTTCGGAAAAAAAGTAGATTTAGGAAGCAGTAGGAATGCACAGCGACTGGCGTGGACAATGGGAGGGAGGGAATTCAACTGACCGCGCTGGTATCACATACACACCTTTCAGTGATACAGAAACTCCAAAGGAAATTGTGTAATGTCACACCATTATTAAATGGTTTCTGCAAACAAAATCCAGTTTGAGGACACCATAAAGCAACAGTGCTTCATATCTCAGATCCGGCTTATACAAGGTTTAATCGTTCCTACCATCTTGTTCCTTGGAGTTGAAAAAAACCCTCCTCCATTGCCATAAGGAGGTGTCCACAGTTTTTTAATTTACCTGTCCAGGTGGTAAGGGCTGATCTAACATTTCAACATCTGGATGCTGAGGAAGATTATATAATCTGCAGAGGTCACATATTAATCGCTTCAGCTGTTGAAGAAGCTATAAAAAAATAAAACATGAAAACATTTATTTAAGCCAAAGCACAGAACAAAGTAGTGTGAATTTTCTTCACCTGTTGGTACTAAACTTTCAGTTAGTGTACAGCATTTAAATCCACATGCACTGCAATAAAGTTTAAAGACCACTCTTTTCCTCTGCAGTCATTGTAATAAAATGCCCACAATGGGAAACCAAGGACATGGCAAGTTAAAGATGGCTCCCATTCAGCTCCTCATGTCATGAGCAAAAGAAACATCTGCTCTGGCAGCATCACCCATTCCAGGCATAGGCACGTCAGCTACAAATCACGAGGGAATACTCAAATGGTCATATCCCATGAGACAAGACTGTCCCTTCGAGTTTCCTAGGTTGAAGAACCATGTCTTCAAAAAACCAAGGAGGAACAGTCTGATTTTCCACATCCTGAATCCCTTTCTAGGGCACACCAGCGAGGCACTAGAAGCAAGGCAAACACTGTACACGGCACAGAAACTAGCCAGCCTCTGAGCTAGACCCCAGGTAGTCTGCTTGCCCTATCTTGTATCAGGTTGAGGTACAATCTGTTACTATCACCGACTTCTGTTTCCAACTTTCGGCCTTATATTGACTGCGTTCTGTTAACTGCAAAATATGGAATACCTTTCATGCACTGTAATCTATCCAGAAAATAAATTTAGTTCAGCAGAAATAGGGAAAATTAAGTTTGCTTCTTGATAATCATGCTAATGCAGCAGATTTCCATAGCTGTTAGCCTTCCCTAGGCAGCCTCAGATCCCTAGCTAAGGCCACGACCACAAGAGACTGTACTACTGCCTTTCCTAACTTCTCAACATCTTTGCATAGCTACGTCAAACAAGCAAAGAAAGGACTGCAGATTACGTTTGCAAAATGGTCAGCACTTCTTGGCCTGCATTACTTACGGAGTAATACCTTAGATGAAGCTTGCAAAAACTGTACATCCATTTCTGAGCTTTTCCTCCAGATACCAAGGGGAGTTTGTCCCACTTGTAGAAGGCAGTGTGCAAGACAGCCATTCTCGTACATGCATCCTTCAGCACTACCAGTAGTTATGCTTAGAGCAGCAACCCCCACCCCCTTTCAGTATCTCTCCTTAAAAGAGGCAATGGGGCCTCACCCAAGGCACAGCATAGACTATATCATCCTGAAATGATCTAGATACAGATGTATATATAGATGATCTATAGACTATATCATCCTGAAATCAATACTGTTTGTATACTGTATACTGTTTGTATACTGTATTTCTTAAAATATACACTGTATATGATCTTAAAATATATACTGTATATATCTTAAAATATACAAACAGTATACTGTATTTCTTAAAATGTACACTAAATTAAGGTATCTAAGAAAAATCTAGTCACTCCAAAACACTCTATATGTCTAAACCCTTGCTACTGGCCAGTTTAAATGCTCTTACCTTACCCTACTGCAAGTGAAAACTCAGCCTCTCCACGGTTAAGAACTCATTTCCCAGTCCAAATCACCACCAGTTGCCCTTCTGCTATCTGAACACTCCAGTACTTTTTCCTTCTCCAGCAGAATTCAATATTTCTGTTTAATAGGAATATTATTTATTCATCAGAGGCCACGAACTAACATATCAGCCTGCACTACGAGAGTTATGATGTTGTCTCCTATCACACCACGTTTGCTGTTTCTGCATCATTCATGAGACTCATCCTTAACTCAAAAATAAAGCTGATGACACCAGAAGAACTAGTGTATCAGCAACACATTTCTTGCGAGAATATACGTGAGATGTGCCAGTTCATGTTGCCAGAAGCTTTCTCTAACAGTCACATTTCTCAGTGTTAAGACTCTACACCTGTTTGAAAAGTTCTGGGTGCTTGAAACACCACAAATCTTTTTGCAGGCAGAAAGCAGGCTAATCCATCAGAAAGCTAGTTCGTAGATAGAACCACTCGTCTTAGAACTATTCTTCTCAGTATGTGCAAGACGCTCAAGGTTGCACTGCTACATGTTTTATTGCAAACATTTTTCTCTGCACAAACAACACTGCCTCATGCAGAGCTGGAGCATAAACTCTAAAATTTCAGGAACGGTAATTTTTCTCACATGGCTACGTAAAGCAAAGCAAGCCACTAATTTATTTACATCTGTTGTGAAGCATACAAAAAAAAAAAACCACTCTGCATGGCGGGGGAAGCATACCACCACCAGCATTTGGCTAGTCCAAAGCTTGGAAAAGCAGCTGACAACAATATTAGACGTGTCTCTACAGAAAAAGGCAGTGAGGGCTGGGAAAAGGGTTAAGAACTGCTTCTAGCCCTGCTTCCTCCAATCCCCATCCTCTCCGTGAGAAAGAGAAATTGAAATTCAGCAG